CCCATTCACGTCGACACAGCGTGTTGCGTGACGGGCACATCCATAATTTAAATTTTGCCAAATCCGATCGTTGTTACCAAATATACTTACTGTTATTATCTACTTTTGCGTAGACCGTAAATCGTAAGTCCTCGGCATGACTATAAAAAGTAATGGGAGTACCTATACCAACGCTCGGTGTCGAGAACCGCAGCCGAAGTCGATGTAATATATTATTATTGTATTATATTCCACACACGCATCGTATACACATTGTTTTGTTTTACTGGGGTCGCTGCAGAAATCCGTAATCGTTGCGAATGCAAAATAAACGATTTAATACGATCGTTTTAGGTAAGTACTGAATTTGTTTCCCGCCGTCTGTACTGCACATTATACTATGACATTGTACATGTGTATTGCGTGCAAAAATGCACGTTAAATTTCCCTAAATTTTAGAATACAATGTAGAGTTCATATTATTAGGTCACAACATTTGCGTTTACCTGTAGTAGTATAGTCTATCGAAATAAACTGCAGTTAGTGTTTTCACATTTTCGTGTATGCACAAGCGAATAAGAACATCTGACTATTATTATAACACAATGGCTCTTATAGTTTTCCGAGCGGAAACAATTTTGTTGCTAATTTGCTGGGATTCGTTTGAACGTTCCGACGACAGCGACCGAATACGCATTCAGCCGATTGCAAAAGGATATATAAACGGTGATCATTGACTCATATCTGCAATTTATTAAACTAGGCTTACAGTTTTTATTTTGAGAATAATTTACAATTACGTCTCAGAGGATGATGCGAGGTTTTCATTGTTCACAAAAAAGGTTTAATTTTTCTTTTTAATTCTATTAAAATATTACGAAGGTAGTTGTAAATAAGCACCTATAACAAATAATATGTAGTTTATTAAACGATGTATTAATTTATGCTGTTAACAACAACGTATAGGTATACGTAATTCGTTATTTTTAGTTTATCAACAAAGTATAATTTCTAATAATTCTTTATTTTAATTTTTAAATGATAAGTTTTGATCTCGAATTACTTAATTTAGACTGATTTTATTTAGTAAACGGTTTTCGCTGGTTTTTGTGTATCATTCTAGTTTCTAGTTTCTAGTGATCTGTTGATGGCGGAATACGTCATATTCAGAGGAGTTGAATTGTTTTCAGTTGTGCGCACATGGAAAGACTTCCATACGTCGAGAGTTGGGTCCGAGATTACGATCGACATTTTAATTACCTGTTAGTGCCGGGTCGAATTTACAACCAACCCTTTTGTTACCCGTTATTGCCGGCCCGGGTTTACAACAAAAAGGATAATCGCTGCAGTCTGTAAGCAGAATTTAAACATTTGCCCGTGCAATATAAGATGGTAATTATTGGTCTATTTACCCATCATTTATAGGTATATAGGGAGAGGTACTTACGGTAAAAAATGTATGCCACTCGACAAGTAAAAAATAATAAAACACGACTCATTATTATCATAAACCTTATATTTAACTGGTACATACAGCACAAATAGGAGTACACATCAGTTCTAAGTATTAAGTGCCCTGTTCTAAATTCATACATAGGTAATTCTAAGCTAATACACGTTTTTTTTTTTGACATTTATTCATTTATACAGCGGATATGGCAATAATTTTAAGGATGTATACATTGTATATTATTATTTCGTATATTATATATATATATATATTTATGCGTCATATATATTCATATGATACATACATATACATAAATAAATACTAAGTAATATTAACGTAGTTAAATCCTAATAAACTACACACAAAAAAAAAAAAAAAAATAAATAAATAAAATACAATAATTAAAAAAAAATAATACAATAAATAAAAGAAAATTAAATAAACACACGGCGCTTTACTATTATTATAATATTATCCTGTAAAAATTTTATTTAACTTACAGGTTTGAAGAGTTATACTTAAATCTTAATTGTTCGAACATTCAGCCAGTTTTTTTTTCATTTTATGACACAACAGGTGATTATATAGTGATATAATAATAATAATAATAATAATAATATAGTTGTATATAAATTTTAGTTAATAGTTTATTTTTTAGAAATTCAAAAACGTTTTTTTCTCTCGTTTGTACTTTTTTATTTTATTTTAAGTTGCATTGAAACATAGGAACTTGAACACATAAAAATACGCCTAAATAAAAAAAAAAATTTCAATCCGACTACGAGATATCAGTTTAATACACGAATATATCATCGTGTCAAGTGTACTACGTTAATATAATAATAATAATGACGATAATTATTATTATATAGGTAGTACTCGTAGATGTAAATATGTATATATATAAAAGATACGAATTTAAGACGGAAAATAATATTACTGGCTGAACATACATGAGAGAGTGGAGAAGGGGGCCCAAGGGGTTCGACAATGTGAGGAAAAGACGAGTGTTATAATATTATATGCTATTGTTTTTGTTCATTAGCGGTGTACAGAGCTTAGAACACGACGTTCGAGTAAATCAAAAATGTACAAAATATAATAATCGTAATATATATAATAAATAATGATATTATTATAATAATAAATCGATGGTCAGACGGTAATACGAGTACAGGACATGTTTCACCGACGACACCATTATGATTATAATATAATATACTGAGATGTCGACGTATACGGTACCTATAATAACGATGATAATAATAATACAGTTCATTATTCGTCCGCTCGTTCGACAGAAAAGAAACAGTACAAAAGAAAACACCTAACATTACACTCTATACAAATTGAATATTAAACGATTATTATATTTTTTAAATATATATATATATATATATATGTATATGTATAAAAGAAATATATACATCATATTGTTAATATATAAGCATTTCGTTAGAACTAAATAGAATTTTTTTTTCAATTTTATTTTTACAACGCCGCCACGACAAATATTGGGTGATGTCTATATGCGTCTAACGCTGCGCAGCTGCACACACTTCGCTCAGAATATTATAATAATTTTATAGCGAAAAATTATTGTCTTAGCTGTCCGCGCAGACGAATTATTCAGTAGATAGGTACGATAAAAATATAATACGAACACCATTCATACGGTATAGACGCATTCCTTCGGCGCCGTTTGCGAAAAATTCGTTTCCGACTAACGAAAGTACAATAATATATTATTTTAACGATATTAATAATAATTATGGATGTTCTGGAATCAAAATGCGCATGCGGTGGTGCGCCGATTTGCAGAAAAAAAATAAAACACGTCAATGGCGATCGGTGACAACGGCAGCAGCAAGTGACAGCGGTGCCGAAGTCGCAGAAATATGCCTATTACAATAATATAATTATTATTACGGGAGTGAGAGGGACAGCTAAGAACAGTTTTATACACATATATATATATTACGAATTTCGTTAGAGTACAATAATATTGTCCTGAAATTGTAATAACATATTATTATTAATACGTGTTACATAGGTAATATTATGATAATAATAATAATATATATATAATACTAATTATTATTGAATGCGCGTGTACCTAATACAGTGACATGAAATACACGTTATAATATAATTATATCATGTATAGTTAATATCATTATTATAATATATATTTACATAATATACGATTTTACAAAATAATATTTTTCCTTTATATTATTATATATTTATTTATATTTATATATATATAAAACTATTTTCACACAAACGTAATAAAAACGTTTAAAAAAAAAAAAAATAAAAATAAAAAATACATACATACATTTTATTATAATACTATGAAGTGTTGACAAAAAATAAAAATAAATTAGATAACGGATAGAAAGAATAAAACATATATTAAATAAGTATATCGTATGAACGCTGTGTGTGTGTGATATTTTTCGCATTCGTAAATATGTAACAAAGATAAAAAGTTGTATGTACATAAATACATAAATATATAATATTATACATACACACTCTTTCTCGTTGTATATAATACATATTATAAAAGAAAAATAATTTATATAGGTTTACGATTACGGTCAAAGTGTCTCTAAATTATAATAATTTTTAAAAATTAACGATCACAGAAATAAAATTACAAATATAACCGATTATAGAACGAGAATAAAATCAAACGCATACACGCAGATACACACACACACATAAACACATAAATTTATAGGTACCCTAATAATTTCACTTTTTTACTTTTCTATAAAACATATCATAGACATACAATAATTATATATATATATATGTATATGTTACACAATGAAGAATGTATTAAATATTTATATGTGTCTACCGTATGAAACGGCGACGGCGGCGAGGCCTATCACGAACAAGAGTATCATTTCAATAATAATATCGCGGAACCGGTAAAATGACAGGTGGCCGCACTTGAGTTAGCAATAAAAGACTGTGACATACTATGATACATTTTTTTTTTAATTCGCGGTGCATTATATAGGAATACCGCCGCTGTCACCGTACACACGTTTCGTCATAAAATTATGTTATATGGCAAACTATACAGTTATTAATAATAATACTAATAATACGTTAAGAGGATTCACGAAAAAAAGTTTCGTGATCTGGCGATTTTCGAACTGTCTGAAGTGATACGGTACGGTAAAAAATAAAACATTGTTTTCGATTGTTATATATATGTATATATATATATATATATATATAGTTGTTTTCCTACGTTATACATGCGTATATAATATTGTTATGTACAAATAATATAGTAATAATAATAATGATCATAATAATAATATAATAATAATAATAATAATAATAATAATATAATAATAATATTGATAATAATTATAATAATAATAATTACTCGTGGGAGGGGAGGATTATCATTATCGTTATTATCGGAGGTGTTTGTTTATATAATATTATATAATATATATATATTTTATATAATATATATACAAGAGTTTAATAATAATAATCATATTATTATGTATATTATAATATTATAGTAAAATAAAAACACCATTTAGGTAGGTATATACACAGTGTGTTGTCAATAATGCAATAATAATAATATGCCACATAATATTACTCTTACGTTAGATATACGTTTGACGTATCTCGTGGAGTGTTTGATGATCGGTGAGAGGGGATCCGGCTATACTGTCTATCGAAGTATGATCCGTTCATAAGCGAAGATGGTTACGAGGACTAAAACCATCAACGCCTTTGCCGAAATGCTGGCGACAGTCGTCTTGGCACCGTTGTAAGTGAGCTCTTCGTTCTTGACCACTTCATTGGGATGCTTGTCGTATTCGGCTGCGAGCAGACGCGCGAAAACGAAATGTAAAATTTTTGAACAATATTTATTTTATTTTTGACGCATCGTTGTCGTAAAAAAATATTACAACAGTTGTACCGCGGACTCGTATAACGATGGAAAGGAACGGTTTTTAAATATCACATTTCCGCGGTCAGAACGAATCCCGCCCTAGTGTCATTCTCGGACCATAATAATATGATATCGGGAAAAAAACCATTTCCTTCATTTCGAAATACCGCGGTACAGAACCATATTTTTCGTCCCGAGTCCGCGACACGTCGTCCTATAAAACAGGATAATAATATTTTTATACTTACATGATTTTTTGAATGATGGCTTGTTGTTGTTGTGCACTGACGGTCCGGTGGCGCCGAACGGTGGCTGCTTGCCGGCCAACGATGGTTGCTGTGTGGACGACGCGTACACAGACGGAGGTCGGGCCGGATATCCGTGCGTGCTGCCTGGCACTGGTAGCCGCTGAGGGTTGCCGGCGTTTTGCGTTGGTCGGGGAGCTAAGTCTGAGAAAAAAAATTTACATCATAAAAAAATGTACCCATATATACGAGTACAATATATATATATATATACATTTATTATTTAAAGTTATTTATTTTTGTAGTAGACAGAGAAAATATACATAGTTTAACTTGATGTCTAAAATTTAGAATGAAAAATAAAAATATCTATTCCCTTTAAGCGCATGGTTATGATGATTGTAAAAAGTTAAAATGATGTACGAACGGTATAATTTAAATTTGACTGTTTAATTTTATTTGCTAAATTAAGTAAAGAATTCATTAACAAGTTGAAACATTGACCGGAGATCATTTGATGAAAATATATTTGCATTATATATTGTTATTATATTATGTTTCATGTATTAAAATAATAAACGTAAAGCAAGTTGCGACCGTAGCAATACCATGGTATTCAAATAGCAATTATAATGCATATATAATCGTCGGGTCTACGCAGTAATTAATAATAATCAGAATATCATCGTCAGTCGCGTGAACCGTACATAAGTACAACATATAAGTACATAGACGGATTTCGTTAGTCGCCGTTTACGCGGTCTATAGCGCAACCAGAGGTATGACTTTGACGTAATATCGAATAGATATTATTTGCAGGGTACTCACTCTGGTTGTTCTGTTGGTCTTCTGGTCGGCAGCACACCTTAAACACGACTTTCATATTGTTGGTGGAGCAGCGTCCACCGATTCTGCGGTGAATGTCGTCCTTGGACGAAGTGGCTGGAAAAAAATACGTACAAATCGTTAGATTATATCTGGTTAGTTTAAACAGTGTATGCGATTTATTTATTCTCACGCGTAATAGCAGCGATAATTATGTGAAAGTTTATCATAAATGTAATAAACAAACAGTTCTATAATTTTTTAATTGATTTTTTTTTTTTTTTTAATTTGCAAGTGAACCTATTTCGTATATTTTTAAATGTAGTAACCGTAATGTAAACGATTTATTATACGAAAACAAACTTGAGGGATATTATTACAATATGTTTTAGTGGTCGTTTTAAGCTCGCGCGTTTAGCGGAAACTGCTATTGTAAAACCTTAGTGTCATTCAATTAGTATGGTCAGTGTACTACCAATACTTAGTACGTTAAAAATGTGAACGTAAACATGTGAAAAAGATAATAAAAGAAAAACGTAACGCTGAGTTCTCGACTTTGGGAGATGTTCGACTTAACAGCAATTTTGTATATTATAATATAATACTATATAGTTTACACGGAGCTACGGAAGAGCGAGAATATGTTTTTTTTCAGTGAAATTTCTGTACCTGATCGATTCTTGTTGAAGCCATATATGATCGGGCTTCAGTACTTGTCAAACTTAACTATTCCAGTGTAATAACAATAAAAAATTGTTTTTTAACGACGAGCTCGCTCTAATAACCGGTGGACGCGCGGTGCCATTCATTTCGCAGAGCGGAACTCGAAAACGGCCATCATTTATTGATTCACTATAATAATATATTGTTATGATATTCTGTCGGCCGGTAATAAAACGATGGCACCAGCCCCCTTTGCGGCGTCATTACACGTCGACGAGTTTATCGTCATCATTCCCGGGTCTCATTTTTTTTTACGACGAGTTAAAGCTTTTAAGAAAAACAACGTATATATAACGTTTTAGCCGGATTGTGTAGTATTATCTGCATTATACGTTTACGGCGTACCTAAACGCGGATATTTTATTAGACGGACGCGCATATTATATGCATATATATAGCATCAGTAATACTTACAAATGAAATAGTAGTCTTGTCCTGGCTGAAATTCGAGTCCACCAGGCTGAGGCGTGAACGACCGGAATGTTATGGTGACGTACATAAGTTTGTACGGCTTGTCGCAGTACGCTATGATCCTTGGATTGGGATTAGTGATTCGGCACATATCGTATTCCTCCTTGGACACCTGAAAATAAAAATGAGGACCATTTTAAAATTATAAGTACACGCGATGCATTTTGGAAGGTATTATAATACAATATTGTTTATATGTGTTTGCGGTAAACAAACAAAATACATAACACTTGGCGGAAAAACGTTTTCTTTATTAAATACGCTCACGAAAGCATAGATGTAAAGATCTTATTGTTTTATTTTTACGGTTAATTTATTTTTATTTTTGGCAAACGAGTTAAAATCTCATTTACCGACTACGATTTCTGGTTTTGAAACGCATTTTGTTGGGGTACTTCCGCCATTGTGCTCCGGTGTTTTGTTGGACGCTGCAGCTTTTTCGAGTGTACCGAATAATATTATATTATGTATAGATATCGTATATATTATATAGTAATGGTATTTTAGACAGAGAAAGATGAATAGAAAGTGAAAGAGAGAGAGGAGACTATAGCTCATCAGTGTTGAAATTCTCCACCGACGCTGGCAAACAAAAACTTGTAAATCGGTCGAGATGTACAGCACCGGTATTGTGCTACAACAATAAAGTCGGTGGCCACCGTCAATTAGTCGGAAGTTCGAAAAGGCCAAAAAGTTATACGCTCCTCGGTGGCGACGAACGCCACTGCTATTAATGCCAAATTTACCACTTGGCTGACACCACGCTAGCTGTCTTATCTCTCGACCGCTACCACCTGCCTAAATCCCACCGCTACTACCATCACCACCACTGCCACTACCGTCCTAAGCCTTCCATTACCATCACACGTTGCGGCGTTAATAAGAGTCGTTGAAATCGACCAAGTTAAAGGTCATCTTTGCGGCCGCAGACAATGGTCCCATTGTCCGTCGCCACAGTGAAAATAAATAAATGAACAATAATAATAATAATAATATAGTATAATACAATACTAGTATAAGTTATGAAACATAACCTAGTATACTATACGCATAAGAAATAAAGGCATGCTGCTATTACTATCACAACTACAATGTACTGCGACACGGTGATAGTGTCCGTCGTGCTGTGTAACCGGAAGAAAACTTTTCGGACTCGAGTGTGATAGTACGACGCATTTTGTGCCCTCCTTTTTTCGGTAGTGCACAGAAATATGACGACATAAGTAATTCGAAAATCTCTGTCCTAGCGAGTTTTGATATATTACATCGTATAATATAAATACGCCCAAACCGGATGAAACGCGATTATTTCTGTGTTTGCAAAACACTGTATACGCACGGGATAAATTATAGCGCGGTTACATATACGCCGTTTCAGTGATTAAATGAGCAGGAAAATGAATCAGTTAAGATGTGCACATCGTATAGTCTAACAATAATTATGTCTCAGTGGACAGAAGATCAACTAATTCAAAGAATTAGTAAAAGCAATGAACCCCACGTGAATATATGTCATTTTGAGACTTAATTATTCCATGTACCTATTAGCAAGGACATTTTCAAGACCCACGATATTTATGTTAAAAGTAAAGTATTTATTTTGAAATTCACATATTTTCGAAACTTAATTCATATTTGCAAGGAACAGAATGAATCGATATACTTTCAATTCATGACAATATTAAAGGTTTTATAAAAAAAATTAATTTATCGTAAAAACATTGGAAATCGAAATTATGATTGTTTTGAATAATATTTCAAACTTTTATAACCGAAAATGATGTATATAGTTGCTAATGACATAATTAGGCAAATAACTGTACATTTAATTTCATTGAAAGATAATTTTAATTTTTACTATATATTGAAGAAATGGAAAAATGTCAATAGAAAAACTGGGTCATAAATTCATTTCAGAATTACATATCGACTGGCATATCAACAAAAGCTGACGAAGAACTCGCATTGACGTTTTAGAAAATACATTTTTAAAATTTAAACTTAACCGCAATGATTTAATACAGTTATGGCTATTAGTTCAACGAACATGTCTAATTCTTTCAACAAAAACTTTAAAGATACTTTTCCCTTTCATATCGTCATACGTGTGTGAAGTTGGATTTTCGACAATGGTAGGCATAGAACATAAATATCGAAATATTGAAATAAGCTACAATTAATAAACTCATGGCATTTGAAAATAGCAAAAATTGACACGGCATGTTGGTACTATTATCCATCATAGAAGAAAACAAACGCTCACTTCACATACGCTTCACTATTAAAATGCTTTGGTAAAATAATTGTATATTCATCATATTTATTAATTAATATTATATTCATTTCGAATTAATAAAGTTACAAGTCATAATAATAGTAATCAAATTTTCAGAACTAATTTTCAATCTTGTAAATAAACCATGTGGATCGTGATAAATTTTTAGAAATAAATTTGGGTTGCAGTCCTAAAAAGATTGAGAACCACTGATATAATAATATAGAAATAATATGTATACTCACGTTGTAAATGATGTACTTTTCGGCGTCCGACTCGTGCGTTCCCGGCGCGTACACAGGACACACGATGTTCACTTGGTCGTATTCGAAAGGCTGATTTCCTTTGTTCACGTCGATTATGTGATCCGTGTTGTCTATCCGGAATCTGAAACAATATCGTTTGCGGGATTAGTTATGAGGTTTTTCCTTAAGTTCGGTCATTTCATACATGTAGTGTGTGACTTTTGCGAAGTATATAAATGTTTTTGAAAATATTTTTTTTCAGAAAATTTACAAAACAATTTGTAGTAATAAGTATAATATTTAAAGTGTGATAAGTGGAGATGAGTAGCTATGGGGTATCTCGCAAAACATCACAATTTCATTGTTTCGCTTATGAATACACAATAATATACCTACGATCGTACGCGAGGAGACAAAATAGTATGCATCAGGTTAGAAAGCGGATATATATTATATAGTACGATCGTTTTACATAGACCATTGTTGTCATGAACAATATATATATTGAACATAATATACGAGTACAGTACGTGTTATATTATTATTATTTACGCGAAACGTCGATTCATGGCGGGCGGCGGATTACTACAACAGGCGCAATAATAATATACTCTGTACAAGCATTGTAAATCTAATACATCTAATTATTTTAATAATTGTTAGTTAATACTTAATAACATTATTATACACGAGTAGGTATACAATTACCTATGTATATGTACTACGAGAAAACACAGAGACGACTCGAGGGGAGTTCAGGGTATTGCCTTAAATGTCTACATCGGTATTGCCATTTATGACGTGTACTATATAATATTATTATACTATACGCGGATTTTCACATCTAATTATTGTCGGTCGATAGACATTTTTAATAATTCTTTAATAATAAAATATAATATCGCGCTACGGACGACGCTGTATACGGCGGCTCCCGTTGAGCTTTTGACTCCCCGTTACGTCCGGCGGCGTTGACATGGCACACACTGTATGCCTACACTCATCCGGTTCAACCGTCATATTATATACCATGCTATATTAATTATTATCCTATATTCTACTTTAACTGTTTCGTCTGACGCGTGATCGAAGTCCCGCCAAGCGAAGCATTATTTCGTATTAATTTTATTCCAACAGAATTCTATAGGAGCAGACGATATCATAACAGTTATTGTATTAAATTATGACGATAAAGATATTTTCTATACATTACTTACGACTATTATTATTTGTCTGTAGCCTCGCGGACGATACCATAAACTTTCTTGCCGGTCCTTAACTTTATATAATGACAGCGCACGGGTCGTGTACACGATGGTCGCTGCAATGCGCGTGCATTACTCAGAAGAGGGTAAAAAATACTTAAATGTTTATTGCTGTTATTATTATTAAACGACCGTTTTCCGTCTCCCATTTTCGACGATAAACGTACAGCTAACAATATTTATTATATATAATTATATATATATATATATATATATATATATACAAATGTTGTACCTACGTGACGCGTAATGCGACCATCGATCGAGTATATGTATATTGTATGCACACGTCATGATGGGTGCCTGTCTATATACTATGGTATGCGCGATTGAAGAATGTGTCTGGTCATCATTTGCCAGGGCATGGTGGGCGATGTACAATATAATATTATGAGTTCGAGAGACTATCGGACAGCTCGGATAACGGCGGCGGTCATAACGAATCGATTTGCCGGCGCGGAATACTTTTTTCTTCTTCGGATTTTTGATTTTGTTTTTATATACATAGACCGAGCTCATTGTTGGTGTATGTGCAGTGTTCGTGAGTACGTGTGCGTTACGGGCGTCATATGAAGATGATGGACGAATCGTTATGGTGCGGTGCACAGTCGTGTTTGACATCGGGGTTGAAAAAAAAGACGTATAATAATTTAAAATCACGACGACGAATATATAGTTATGTTGTCGACGGGAATAATGATGATAAACGGCTGCAGTCACTGCAATGCCGTGAAACTTTATAATAGTGTTACGCCGCAACACAGAAGGGCGTGTGTTAATTATTATTATGGAAAATGCCTAAAAAACAAGCATTTGTTAATAACACAACGGCGAATTGATGTGATAGTGAGAGAAGTAAAACATTATTATACTACAATCGTATAATACGTATCGGCGTCATTTTTTCACACAGTTCGCCTTCGGCCTGCGATTATTGATCGGAAATAATCATATAGTCTGTACATCTGTTTACCGTGTATTTCTGATCAAATGCTGCAGTAGTGCAGTTAACCAAACATCGTTTTAATAATGACAAATGCTAAATTATTTGTCCCGAGAAATAATCTTTCTGTCACCACTCTGTATGTACACACAATATTGTATATTATACAGCTGTGTAGGTTATGCATATGTTATTTCGGTCTTATACGCCGCGCGCATTCGAATCACGTTTCGAAAATATTTTTTCCGATCGAATTATTACATTATCGTCGTTCAGTCTATACGTATTGCACGTGTACCGTCAATATTTTCAACTTTGTCGTGTATTAGCTTTCGTATAAGCCATGATATTACGTCGTAAATTACAATATTGGAAAATTTGAATCGCATTCTTTCTGGCTAAGATTAACAATATATGCACCAACAGTTGTAATAATAAATAAATATACGGATAAATACCTTCGGCGTCATCGCACGTGAAACGTTCGAGTTCAGTCAAAAACGATGAAAACCACGATCGTGACTAAGAAAGAGAAGTTTGTATATTAAGCAAGTGCTTTTGCATATATATGCAAGTATTATAAAGCTATTGGAGAGACAAGTGGAACGTGTATAAAATATAAGTTTTCGAGGCATTTTTTTCGTCTAAAAAACGAATGAAATAATAAAATGACGCCCTAGAAATAGTATAACAGTATAACTGTAGCCGTGCTGGTATACGAATTATGCACGGCTCTTTTCGTTATACGCTTAGTGTTTCTTTACCCCGGAGCGATATTTTTTACTGCATATTATTCACGGAACGATGAAAACTCTGAAAAGGTATAGACGTAAACCATATAATTCCTAAATGTATACCTAAGTACCTGTGTGTAAAAACATACAAAGCCAATCTCACGAAATACATAATAATAATAAATAATACACAATATGTATGTTTAGACGATAATCGGGGAGGTGCCATTCGTCGAGGGGTACCACAACCCTACAAGAGCACAATATGTATAAGAAAGTTGGCCGACGATTAAAAAAAAATATATTATTATTATTACTATTGTATCTATTAAATATCCCTTATCTGCAGGAGTAGTCATCGGTCGTGTTCGCTGTACTTACATTATATTATAATATATTCATACACGTAATACTATATAATATATAATATTATATATCATAATGGAAGTGGTTATCGGTGGCGGACATGATGGAGGAGACCTGTGAAACTCGCTGGTCGTATCGAATGTCTCCCTCGGTGTATAGAAGATATTATAATATATATACTCGTACGTGCGTGGTATATGTAACAAAAAACAAAAAATCGCGGTGGTTGTTTTTCCGCTAACATCTACAAAAACGGGGTACGTAGGGCGGGTGCGGAAAGGCGCTCCTCTGACCACCGCGGTCCGATGTTATGATTATGGCGGCTACGGTTGTCGAGATATGGGCGGTCGCGTCCGGTTACCGCCCTTCGCGCGCCTCGGCTATCGTATTCCGAGATTCGGAATGTACATTATACATTATTCGCCACGTCGTATTGTATAATATACGGGACGCGTATGACGTGGAGGAACGTTCCGCGCGAAATGTTACGTCAACGACGGCCCGGCGATACTGGGTGGGGGTGAAGTCGTCGTGCGGGGGTCTGTGTAGTGGCAGTCGCTGCGCGTTATATAATACATTATTATACACACTCGACGGAGGCGCTATATGTACATGGACGCGGGGTCTGGGGACGGAATGGCGGCCATTATTTAGCGTGCGAGTGACGGGAGAAGGGTAGTGATGGCGGGGGTCCGATGAAGGTGGATGGTAAGGATGGGAGATGCGGAATGAAAAAAAAAAACCCCTAGGAAAAACTGGTGTTGATTAAGTGTGAAAATGAAGGGTTGCCGGGCGATCTCTCCAGAATATCATGGTCCTACTCCAGTGGGTGTACATAATACGCAGAATATTGTCATCGCCGGGGGTTTTGGAATCGCATACACGTATATTATATAACTTCATATAGATACACCTATCCTACTGTAAATATATAATACTATAGTACTCTTATACCGACGTGTGTATATTATTATGTATAGCCGAGTTGCCAGGACGGTGGTGAAAGCAAATGACTGAGGGTCGTCGGACTTTTGTTTTCGTTTTCACGTAAAAACAATTAAAAGGAGAGCTTTCAGTCGACGCCAGCTGTAGTGACCCCGCGCACGTGCACTATACATACATGTATACATCGCATGCACTTCAGTGGGACGCTTCGCACACACTGCTGTATTATGGTGGCGCATGGGTTGTATTACGGGGCGTATAGGTGTACCTTTGTCTATGTTCTATGATATAGGCATTAAACCAAGGGTAGCCAAACTGCGGCTTCTGTCATATAGACTCATATGGCTTACATCGTATCGCAAGATACAAAGATTATTCCAAAAAAAAATATTTTCAATATGAATTAATGAACTTATGTTTTGAAGAAGTATAATATTTAAGTACGTTTTTATTTTTATTTTTAATTATTAATTAATATCATTAATTGTTTTGCATTTTATACATTTTATTACAATTGATATCTAATTATCTTCTTTACGATAATCATATACATGCATTTATATGAGTTTATTTATTTTTTTTTTTTTTGGCTCTTCCATATTTCTTAACATATTGGGCGGCTCGCAAGTTTCTTCTTGTTAGTCACCCCTGCATTATACATTAGGTTATCGTATATAATAACGTGTCCTACTAGTGTGCAACGATCGAGAAATATTTTCCCAGTTCAAAAAATAAATAAATAAATAAACGCACCCATTATATATTACGATTATTACTTATTATTATTAAAATGTAGAAAGATGACAGATTGTGTGTGCGTGTACAAAAAGAGAGCAAGAAAAATTACTACTATACTCGTGTATAATATATATGTTATATATATAAAAGT